CCACCGAGGGTTCGGATCCCACATAGAGACCGGTCTGCTCACTGGTTGAGCGCGGTGCGGGCGCAACACCGAGGGTTGCGATCCCATTACCCGTCATGAAAAAAGACAAAAAGGAAAAAAAAAAAAAAGATATTCTCTGCAAAGAACACTTTTTTTTTTTTAAAGATGACTGGTAAGGGGATCTTAACCCTTGACTTACCCATGGCCTTGGTGTTATCGGCACCACACTCTCCCGAGTGAGCCACGGACCGGCCCCTAAGAACACTTTTTATTTTTTTTGTCTTTTTCGTGACCGGTAAGGGGATCGCAACCCTTGCCTTGGTGTCGTCCGCACCGTGCTCAGCCAGTGAGCGCACAGGCCATTCCTATATAGGATCTGAACCTGCGGCGGGAGCGTCTCTGTGCTCCCAGCGCTGCACTCTCCCGAGTGCGCCACGGGGCCGGCCCTAAGAACACTTTTTAAAACAAGTTATGGTTATTCTGGATAATGACAAATTCCTGCTTTGAAGGAATAAGGTACATGGAAAAACCAAAACCCTTAATTCAATAACAACTGAATATCCAACGTCATTTCTTGCTGCTGTTTCCTATCAAAGGGTGACAGAAACCTCTTAATTTCATTCTTTCTTAGCTCTCTATGGCTTACTCATTGGAAGATTTTCTAGAAGATTCATAGGCAGAAGTAGCCAATCAAACTCCTAATTTAAAGCAGGTTTTTGGGTTTACTCCTAAGCCTATAAAACACTGGCCCAAGTCAAATGCAGCATTTCCACACTGCTTTAGAAACCCAGCTTAACTCTAACCCAGGGTTTCTCACGAGCAGCACTACTGATACTGGGCCAAATAATTCTCTGTTGTGGGACTGTCCAATGCATTGCAGATGTTTAGCAACATCCCTGGCCCATACTCACTAGATGTCAGTAATAGCTGCCCCCGGTTGTAACAACCAAAAATGTTTCCAGAGATTGCCAGATGTCCCCTGTGGGTACAAAATCACTCCTGGTTGAGAAGCACTGCTCTAAGCCAGGGAACACTCTTGGTTATCTCAGCCCTGATTCCTCACAGTCATTTGATGATCCTCCAAACATCTGCGCTGAGGCTTCCTCTCATCATCCAACTCAGCAAATATTTATAGAACCTCAGACACAACATCAAGAGCTGTAGGAGATAACTGGGCAAGGCAGATTCTGTTCCTACCTTTAAGCAGGTTTCTTGGGGGAAAAGTACATTTAAAACTGTAATAAAAGACACCCAGTTATATAACGTCTTGAATTATTGATTTTTTTTTCCTGTGGAACTCTCATCTCACCAAACCAAAAACACTTGGACAACAAAGGCTATAACCTATCTTCAGGTACCAATACTTGATTAATGGCCAATAAAAACATAATTGTAAACTTCGCCATAACAAGGTGACAATTTCCTATAAGCAGTAAACTCTCCAGCCCTAACTTGGACAAGTTAAACTTTCTCAGCTGTAGTTTGTTCTTCTGTAAAATGGGAAGAAAATGATTATTGACAGGATTAAACTGGATAATACAAGTAAATCTTTTTCCACATTCTGGCACAGAGTAAGCATTCAATACATGTCAACTATCATTACTATTATTTTATTAGCAACAAATCCTACCTCAAGAGGAAGAGCTTGCTCTAGTCTGCAATAACAAACTCCTATATGACATAAAAAGAAATTAACTATTACTCTGCTTTCTGAGAGCAAGAGAAGGGAAAGTAATCATAGTCATTTCTACCCACATCCTGGAAGGAAGAAATTAATGCAGGAACCAATGAGAAGTGAGGAAAAACAAAAAACAAAACCACACTCAGAGACAAACCCACTATCTTCCAATAGATCCCCAGAGCACTCTTAAGACCTTTCTATTTAAAATACACAGGTTAGGGCCGGCCTCTGGCTCACTTGGGAGAGTGTGGTGCTGATAACACCAAGACCACAGGTTCGGATCCCTACATAGGGATGGCTAGTTAGCTCATTTGGGAGAGCGTGGTGCTGATGACAAGTCAAGGGTTAAGATCCCTTTACCGGTCATCTTTTTAAAAAAATTAAAAAATTAAAAAATAAGATACACGGGTATGCAGATCCCCTTACCGGCCAGCTGCAAAAGAAAAACAAAGCAAAACAAACAAACAAAAAAAAAAAAAACGTGGGTTTTTTCGAAGTAAAAACATGCTTAATTTATAAATTTTTCACACGCAGTAGACAGGTCTTATACACCTTTCCAAGTGTTTGCTTAGTCTTTCAGAAATTAGAATTTCTATTGCTATAATGTCAAACACATGCCAACAATTCTGAATTAAATACAAAGCATATAAGAGTTTATAAGAAAAAAAGGCAAAAATTGTTAGATGTTTTAAAGTAAGAGAACATAAAGTCATGGAAAAGAGCTGGGTGGTTCACGGTGTGTGTGTTTGAGTGAAGCAGCATTTTGAAATGGGAGTTATTTGGGATAGAAGTACAAGAGGGGAAAAGCCACCATGTTGGAACAGATACATCCAGGAACACCTCCTCTGGCAGCACAGGGAGTGTAGTTGAGCAAAAAGAGACCTTAATCTCAGAATGGATAACACGAGTATAAGGGGTACTGTAGGCTACACACGAGTACCCTACAGTGGATCATGTAATCCCCCCAACAATCCTGTGAGGCAGGTACTAGTACCCACATTTTACAGATCAGGAAAATGAGACACAGGGAAGTTAAGTGACTTGCCCAAGTTCACTTAACTAGTAAACAAAGGATTCAGACTCCAACGCAGCCACCCTGGCTCCACAGCCCTGCTTCAACCACTGTACTTTACAGTGCCTATTTTAATTTCAGACCTGGAAAATTAATTTATATTTGCTACTTAATGAGACCAGATCGCTTCCCTCTACCCTTTTGTATTTCTAAGCAGCATCCTTTTAGTTGCATCGTGTGTGGTGACCCTACGGAGGCTGAGAGACAAAAGTGTGATAGATAGACTCGTCTTTGGACACTGAGATAATCCACAGGGAGGAACGTGTGTGGGTAAAAATGGAGACACCGTCCTGAACAAGAAGAGGAGGTGGGGGGAGAGGATGAGAGTCTTGGAGAACCAGGAAGATCACCCAAATTCCGATTTCCTACGTTTGCCTTGGCTACCACGTTCATTCGAAAGGCCCCCGAGCCCACCTATTCCAACGCTGCTTTCCACCTCTCGCAGTCTAAGAGACGCAGAGGACGGCAGCGAGTCGAGGGGGCCCGTGTGCAGGGAGGCTGGGGAGAAGTGGCGCTCTGGACAGAGGAGGGAGAGGCTGCCGAGCCGGATGGGGCAAAGAGGCGCGTGGGGAGGCTGGGGCAGGGGACAGAGATGAGGGGGCAGCAGGCCAGGGGGTTCGGGTGGGCAGCCTCGGTGTGACTGGGATCCGGACCGTGGCCACATCTGAAGAGGCGCAAGGACAGCGCAACCCTGTCACTACCACCCGGGCTGATCTGAGAAAGGAAACCGGGCAGGAACCACGGCATTTCGAAACAGGGGTAGAAAATAACCACGAGCGCAGCCCAGGGCCGGGGCGAGGGCAGCGTCGGGGGAAGGGGTCGCCCCCCAGGAGTAGCGGGACCCCGCGCACGAAGAGGCTGCGGAGGTGGGTCCGCTCCGCCGAGAAGCCCGGGGCAGAGCG